TCCATTTCCTTCTGAGCCTTTCCCTTGAGTGAAAACCTTCCATGTCTTCATGCATAAGTCAGCTCCTCATCCAAAATTTCTTTCTCCTTGAATCAGTTCTTTCCCCTGTTAGTCATATCTTTGAACTTGATTCAACTGATCATTCTCTTTCCTTGATGCCTACCCACCTGTCTGTCCCAGACACTGTGTGAATTCCATTTTTTTATTCCATTTTCAATTTTCTTTTTCTTCTTGAAGTCTGGTTTTGTGTTTTGCAGAAATTCATCTCAGAGTTTCAACACATTCTTCCTTGTGAATATACCTACCCAAACCAACATTGCAACCACTTTGCTGCACTATATAAAAAAAAAAGATCAAATTCAGCACAGCACATGAGCAGCATTGCATTTTTTTCTTTTCTCCACCAATTTCGCTTTGTTACCAAACCTTGCAGATCTTCAAAAAGAAGCAAAAAACATCCCTTCTCAAATAGGTGGTTGTGGTTTGATCTGCAACATGAGCAATGCCCGGGCCGTTCCACTCCACCGGGCTAAACAGCCCACTCACCTTAGCCTTGTGGCCCTCAAAATAGGGAGTCAATACTGTAGTGTTAGGATGCTGTTAGTCCCACTATATTGCAGTGTTTTAGCTGCAAAAACCGCCAAAAAAAAACCCATTAAAATCCGCCATAGCATACTGTAGTGGGCCCTCTTTTGTTGTGGCCTGCACGTGTTGCATTAACACAGTAATGGCAGAATTCCGCTGCACTACTCTAAATCTTAGCAGAATTGCCACTGGTCCATTGTTGTCTCCAACACACATATACAGTCTTACACTTTAAACCTTTCTCTTATATAAACAATCTTACACTTTAAACCATTCTCTTATATATACAATCTTACACTTTTTCAAACCTTTCTCTTTCTCTATCTAGATCCACAAAAGTCAAGATAAAAGAAACCAACTTAACAACATAGAACCAACCCCCCTCCCCCCCCCCCCCCAAAAAAAAAGAAACAATTGTTTTGTGAAGGAGAAGGAGAAGATCATCTAACATCACCCACCCAAAATAAAAAGAGAGATTAATCAGTTGGATGTATGTTCAGAAAACCCCAATATACATGATGAAGAAGTGTTTATTTATCTATAAAAACAGACAAATCTGTTTGATTCAAAATGTACAGAAAAGAGGATGATCAGCAGGTTTTTTTGAAGTTGACAAGACTGTTGCAGCTGTTGCTGTATAAGGTGACAATGACAATGATGGTGAAGTAGCTTAAACAAAGACAATGATGCTAATGTTGTTTAGACAATGAAGTCAATGATGATGATAGTGTTGTTTAGACAATTGTGGTGATGACAGCAATGATACAATGATAAGAATGATACAATGGAACAATGCTACAATGATAAGAATGATACAATGGAACAATGCTACAATGATACAATGATAAGAATGATAGGAATGCTGCAACAACCAGACCAAACTGGGGAGAGAAATGAAGAGAGAATCTATAGATGTTATGAGATGAAGATCAATTTACATGCATGTATTTAGATGATACATCAATTGATGATTGAACAAAAAAAAACTAAAATCTTAGTATTTTCCTCCTACACCCTATAGTATACTATACATTCTTTTTTTTCCGCTTTCTATTTTTTTTTTAAATCTTTTTCTAGTCCATCTTCAACTGTCTTGATAAATATTGAATGAAGTTCATCAAAAAAAAAAAGGAGAAAAAACTTTATACCAGTAATAATGAAGTTCCCCAACCCCTTGTTCGCCTCGGAGAGATTTCAGTTTGAGGATTGAAGATTGAGAAGAATAAAAAAAAAATCAAGGATGTTATCGAGTCATGAAGCCTTCAAGATCACCAAGTATAAGTAGAAGACAGGAGTATTTTCGAGCGGGATTCCTAGCCGATTTCTTAGGCAAACCGAGCCAGCCACCTTGATCCCAAGGACCAGGGCTGTGATACCCAGAGAGAGAGAGAGAGAGATGGGGTAGGAGTCACGAAAAGATGTTTGACATTCAAGAAGAAAAAGAAAGAATAAGTAGAGTAGGAGGGTGAA